CTCGATCTCTTGACCTCGTGATCCACCCGCCTCAGCCTCCCAAAGTGCTGGGATTATAGGCGTGAGCCACCGCGCCCGGCTCTTTTTTTTTGAGATGGAGTATTACTCAGCCACCCAGTAGCTGGGATTACAGGCATCCACCATCATGCTCAGCTATTTTTTGTATTTTAGTAGGGACGGGGTTTCACCACGTTGGCCAGGCTGGTCTTGAACTCCTGACCTCAGGTGATCCGCCCACCTTGGCCTCCCAAAGTGCTGGGATTACAGGCGTGAGCCACTGAGCCCGGCTGACATCCTTTTCTTATTCATAATCTTGGTAGGGAGAGCTTTCACTACGAAATATGATAAGAGCTGTGGGATTTTCATAGATGGCCTTTATCAGATTGAAAATGTTCTCTTCTATTCTATTTCATTGAGTGGTTTTATTATGTTGAATTTTGTCAGCTGCTTTTCCTGTATGGTTTTTGTCCTTTATTCTGTTGACTTTTTTTTTGAGACGGAGTTTCACTCTTGTTACCCAGGCTGGAGTGCAATGGCGCGATCTCGGCTCACCGCAACTTCCGCCTCCTGGGTTCAGACAATTCTCCTGCCTCAGCCAGCCTCCTCAGTAGCTGGGATAACAGGCATGTGCCACCATGCCCAGCTAATGTTTTGTATTTTTAGTAGAGATGGGGTTTCACCATGTTGACCAGGATGGTCTCGATCTCTTGACCTCGTGATCCACCCGCCTCGGCCTCCCAAAATGCTGGAATTACAGGCTTGAGCCACTGCGCCTGGCCTTATTCTGTTGACTTTTATAAGTCATTGATTTTCAGATGTTAAATTAACCTTGCATTCCTAGGATAAATCTCACCTGGTCAGGGTATAGAATCCTTTTTACATGTTGTTGTATTCAGTTTGCTAGTATTTTTGGGGGCATGTTTGCATCTATATCCATATGAGATACTCATCTGTAGTTATCTTTTCTCATTATACTGTCATCCGGTTTTGGCTATCCTTATCTTTTAATGTGTTAGAGTTTGGAACAGGAGAAACAGATTAACCTCTCCCCTCATTTGCTCACCTGCATCTGGTGGGAAGGGACAAATAGAAGCCCCGAGCTCAAGTTCAGACAGTGTCAGCATAGGTGCCAAGGAGGAAGACAGCCTCATCTGTAAAACAGGGTAGGAAACCCAGCCGGCAGCCTGGAGGCAGTGGGCTGGCCTGCTGCCTTCTTTGCAGTGCGTCCAGGACAGCGAGAGTACCTGAGGGAGCTGCCATATGCTGGCTTTCAGAGGAGAGACCGCAGGACTCAACCTCTGAGGTCCCTCCTGGCTCCAAAACTCCTGCTCTGAGGGTGCGAATCAAGATCACAATGTAATAGCTCACCCTCCCTATTCAGTAACTGGCCCAAATTTCGTAGAGAAGAGGAAAAGGGGAACCAGTTTCCTTGGCCAGAGGCCTGTCAAGTTCATGGCCAGACCTCACTAAATGACAAATACCTGGCCAACCAGTGAAAGGACAGGTCAGAGAATGCTCTGCAAGAACTGACGGCCTGCCTTCTTTTTGGTCCCAAAGAAAAGCAGATCCTTGTGGTAAAGCCTGGAAAACATCCTTAAGGAACAGAAGAAAGCACAGAGAGGCCGCAGCTCCACAGGACTTTTCCTTTCTGCAGGGCTCCAGCAGCACAGTGGGAGGCTCTATAAATGCCACCAGGGAAGGGGGTGGCAGCTGGCAATGTGGGAAGGGTAGGGCTCTTGCAAATCCTTTGCTTCAAGTGTCTTGTTAAATAGCCATCAGAGTCCCTGTGTGACCTGGATAAGGTTACTTGCTTCCTACCCTCAGAGCACAGGACAGGCACACACTCTTGACAGGCTGTGGAGTCAGGAGTCCTGGTCCCCAGGTTTGGGCTCCTCTGAGGAACCAATGGCCCATTCCCACTGTAGATGCACCATTCCCTCCTAGGGCTGCCAGTGCTATTTTTGTGCCTGCAGCTCACTACAGAGGCCCAAGGTCCCTGAGCGAAAGCCCATAAGGCAGGCAGGGAGAGGAGCGAGTGGGTTGCCACCATCACTGCCACTAAGGTAACTTCTGCTGACAACTCCCCTTTCACAGCCTCCTGCCAGCCCCCTTCTGATTAGCGAGTGAGCTGGGCAAGCAGCACTCAGGAAAATCAGCATCTGTTAGGTAACTAGTTCAGCTGCCATGCAGGGGATGATGTAATCTTGGATTCTGTGGTTGCTAGGAAAATTCTGCTTGCAGTGATATTGCGTGGTCCTAGGGCTCAGGCAAGAACACAATGTTCCCAAGAAGACAGGGGAAGGATTCTTAGGGCTTCCCAAGCAAGGGAGCCCCATCCCAGGAAGCCAGATGACTTGCGCCCCTTTCTAGATGCTTTTTTCCCTTCTGAGGAATGGAGGTAGTGCTGGTAAATCCAGAACCCCATGAAATCGGGCTGGCGGTGGGAGGTGACAAGGCTCATTCCCTTAGCAGCACCTGGATGCTGTAGTGCCAAGTGGAAGGTGTGTCTTGTGCATTGCATCCTTGTAGTTGGGCCCTCTGTCTCTGGCCCTCCCAATGGCTGGGTGCATCCACCCTCTCTTGGTAGAGCAGTTGGAAGGAGCATGTGCCCACTGAGGGGGAGACCCCCTGTGGTGTGGGCAGCCGGCTCACACTGCCGACTCCATTTCACATGCCAGGGGCCTTGCTTCACACCCCCCACACTGGCCCACCTTCAGGTGGCCTTTCCTGTCTCTGCTATTCCGATCCACCCCCTCACGGAGAGAATGCCTGCAGTAGCACAGACAAGCTGTCAGAAAGACCATGGGCAGCCAAACTAGTACCATTTGGGACAAAGTGAAGAACTGCCCTTTTACAAAGGAGGTAAGAGCAGCAGGACAGGGTTAGGGAGTCAGGGTGGGGCCCTGCAGGTCACCTCCTGGCCCCCAGGGGCCTGCTGGCCATGTCAGCCCCTTCCTCCCCAGGCAGCTGTGGGTGTGGGCGGCAAGTTGGCATTTCCAGCTTTTCCCTCCTCCCCGCTGCCTATCCCGGTCACTCGTCAGAGCCTGTCCTCTGGAAAACAAGACAAAGGAAGTGATTTCACAAGTGCCTGGGCCAGAATCTCAAATTCGGGATTAAGAAAAAGAAGGATTGCCAGGCGCGGTGGCACGTGCCTGTAGTCCCAGCTACTTGGGAGGCCGAGGTGGGAGGATCGCTTGAGCCCAGGAGTTCTGGGCTGTAGCGCACTATGCCGATCGGGTGTCCACACTAAGTTTGGCATCAATATGGTGATCTCCCGAAAGCAGGGGACCACCAGGTTGCCTAAGGAGGGGTGAACTGGCACAGGTCAGAAACGGAGCAGGTCAAAACTCCCCTGCTGGTCTGTAGTGGGATCATGCCTATGAATAGCCACTGCACTCCAACCTGGGCAACAGAGGGAAACCCCGTCTCTGGAAAAAATATACATACATACAGACAGACAGACAGACACACACACACACACACACACACACACATATTTTTTTTTTCCAGAGAAAAAGAAGGATTGTGGGCATATCTGTCTCAGTCAGAGCCCGGGGGAAGCAGGCTGGACATGGGCCAGGCCATGCTCCATGGAAGAGGTGTTGGGTTTGGGTGAAGGAGAAGCTGCTGCAAAGAGGAATGGCTTTTCAAACCACAGTGAGCCAGACCTTCCAAAGGCATCAAGACGTGAGTCCTGAAAAGAAAGAGGGAGGTTCCCAGCCGAGTGCAGTGGCTCACACCTGTAATCCCAGCACTTTGGGAGGCCAAGGCAGGCCAATCACCTGAGGTTGGGAGTTTGAGACCAGCCTGACCAACATGGTCTCGTCTCTACTAAAAATACAAAAATTAGGCAGGCGTGGTGGTGGAGGCCTGTAAATCCCAGATACTCAGGAGGCTGAGGCAGGAGAATCGCTTGAACCCAGGAGGCAGAGGTTTCAGTGAGCCGAGATCGAGCCATTGCACTCCAGCCTGGGCAACAAGAGCGAAACTCCGTCTCAAAAAAAAAAAAGAAAGAAAGAAAGGAAGAAGGAGGTTCCCCAAGGACCATCCCTGCCCCGGCTTTAGTAACTGGAGTAAGGGATGTGAGCAGAGCTGAGCCCTGCTCCAGGTCACCTGGGTCCTTGTCATGGCTCAGCTATCAGCTATGTAGCCTTGAACAAGCCTCTGAACCTCACCCTGGTAGTCCTGCCTTGCAGCCCTGCAGCAGGGTTGCAGGCCTTGTCCCCAGCCAGGCTGAAGGGAAGACCAGAGGGGAGGAAGACTTCGGACTTCCTCAGAAGCACTTTGTCGGCCGGGCGTGGTGGCTCAAGCCTGTAATCCCAGCACTTTGGGAGGCCGAGGCGGGTGGATCACGAGGTCAAGAGATGGAGACCATCCTGGTCAATATGGTGAAACCTCGTCTCTACTAAAAATACAAAAAAATTAGCTGGGCATGGTGGTGCGTGCCTGTAATCCCAGCTACTCAGGAGGCT